GTACCCAGAGTGGCACCAGGGACAATCAGGCCCCACGCTCCTGCGAGATGAAGATGCGACAAGCCGCATCGAGGGCGACTGGCAGCAGCTGAACACACTGGGTCACTACCAGGTGAGGGGTTTCCCACAGCCCCCCACTTCCCCGCTTCTGCCCCATTTTTCCCGTTTCCTCCTGCCCAGCACCTCACGTCCCCCTGCTCCGCCCACAACTCCCCACCTCCCCTGCCTCTGCCCCAGTTCTCCCCTTTCCTCCTGCCCAGCACCTCACGTCCCCCTGCTCCGCCCACAACTCCCCACTTCTCTGCCTCTGCCCCAGTTCTCCCCTTTCCTCCTGCCCAGCACCTCACGTCCCCCTGCTCCGCCCACAACTCCCCACTTCTCTGCCTCTGCCCCAGTTCTCCCCTTTCCTCCTGCCCAGCACCTCACGTCCCCCTGCTCCGCCCACAACTCCCCACTTCTCTGCCTCTGCCCCAGTTCTCCCCTTTCCTCCTGCCCAGCACCTCACGTCCCCCTGCTCCGCCCACAACTCCCCACTTCTCTGCCTCTGCCCCAGTTCTCCCCTTTCCTCCTGCCCAGCACCTCACGTCCCCCTGCTCCGCCCACAACTCCCCACTTCTCTGCCTCTGCCCCAGTTCTCCCCTTTCCTCCTGCCCAGCACCTCACGTCCCCCTGCTCCGCCCACAACTCCCCACTTCTCTGCCTCTGCCCCAGTTCTCCCCTTTCCTCCTGCCCAGCACCTCACGTCCCCCTGCTCCGCCCACAACTCCCCACTTCTCTGCCTCTGCCCCAGTTCTCCCCTTTCCTCCTGCCCAGCACCTCACGTCCCCCTGCTCCGCCCACAACTCCCCACTTCTCTGCCTCTGCCCCAGTTCTCCCCTTTCCTCCTGCCCAGCACCTCACGTCCCCCTGCTCCGCCCACAACTCCCCACTTCTCTGCCTCTGCCCCAGTTCTCCCCTTTCCTCCTGCCCAGCACCTCACGTCCCCCTGCTCCGCCCACAACTCCCCACTTCTCTGCCTCTGCCCCAGTTCTCCCCTTTCCTCCTGCCCAGCACCTCACGTCCCCCTGCTCCGCCCACAACTCCCCACTTCTCTGCCTCTGCCCCAGTTCTCCCCTTTCCTCCTGCCCAGCACCTCACGTCCCCCTGCTCCGCCCACAACTCCCCACTTCTCTGCCTCTGCCCCAGTTCTCCCCTTTCCTCCTGCCCAGCACCTCACGTCCCCCTGCTCCGCCCACAACTCCCCACTTCTCTGCCTCTGCCCCAGTTCTCCCCTTTCCTCCTGCCCAGCACCTCACGTCCCCCTGCTCCGCCCACAACTCCCCACTTCTCTGCCTCTGCCCCAGTTCTCCCCTTTCCTCCTGCCCAGCACCTCACGTCCCCCTGCTCCGCCCACAACTCCCCACTTCTCTGCCTCTGCCCCAGTTCTCCCCTTTCCTCCTGCCCAGCACCTCACGTCCCCCTGCTCCGCCCACAACTCCCCACTTCTCTGCCTCTGCCCCAGTTCTCCCCTTTCCTCCTGCCCAGCACCTCACGTCCCCCTGCTCCGCCCACAACTCCCCACTTCTCTGCCTCTGCCCCAGTTCTCCCCTTTCCTCCTGCCCAGCACCTCACGTCCCCCTGCTCCGCCCACAACTCCCCACTTCTCTGCCTCTGCCCCAGTTCTCCCCTTTCCTCCTGCCCAGCACCTCACGTCCCCCTGCTCCGCCCACAACTCCCCACTTCTCTGCCTCTGCCCCAGTTCTCCCCTTTCCTCCTGCCCAGCACCTCACGTCCCCCTGCTCCGCCCACAACTCCCCACTTCTCTGCCTCTGCCCCAGTTCTCCCCTTTCCTCCTGCCCAGCACCTCACGTCCCCCTGCTCCGCCCACAACTCCCCACTTCTCTGCCTCTGCCCCAGTTCTCCCCTTTCCTCCTGCCCAGCACCTCACGTAACCTGCCTAACTCCTGCACCTTCAGTCGCTCACTGAGCCGCTACGGTAAGTGCCCCCTGGGATCCCTGCCAGGGCCACTCAGAATCAGGGGCGGCCCCCCAACACCAGGCTCCCCCCCCGGCACTCCTGCCCCCAGCCTGGGGGAGCCAGCGGCCCATATGCCCCTGGGCGATGTCAGTCCATCTGTCCCTTCCCACCCAGAGAGCCTCCTGCGGACATCCAGCAACCCAGACAGCCTGCGCCCCCAGGACCACCGCTGAGCCTACCGCCTCTGGCACCTCGTCCGCAGCCATGACCCGCTGGCCGACCCCAAGGAGGGGGGCAGCAAGATGGTGTCAGAAATCTACCTCACCCGGCTCCTGGCCACCAAGGTACAGGGTGCGGTGCTGGGGCCAGGGTGGGGCTGGCACAGGCCAAGGGCAATGGGAGGGCCAGGGGCCATGCTGAGAGGCTGTGGGGGGATGGTATGGGGCAGGGAGCTCTGCAGGGGTCAATGCCATGCAGGGTCTAGTGGGCCATGTGGGGGCCTGGAAGGGCATATGAGGCCCGGGGCCCAGCCAGGGTGCTGTTGTGGGGGGAGGGCATGTGTGCATGTGGGGCTAGGGCACCATGGGGGTGATGGGTGGGGGTGGGGGTGCCAAC